AATTCTAGTTAATACATATTATTAGCAAGAGTATTTTAGGGAATACAATATCTATTTGTTACAAATAATTAACTTAACTAATTTTCTTAATCTACTCAAATTAATCAAACTAGTTATTATATTAAAAATGAGGTAATATAAATTTTAGGATACATATTACTCGATTAATTTAAATATCCTAGAAAGTAGTGATTGTTTAGTTCAATCATCATTAATATAAAATATAAAAAAAGCATTAAAAAAACCATGTTATTCCCGAGAGATAAATAACACTCTTCTAGTCCTAAATATAAGATACATTTTATAATATAAGAGTCTTAAATTTACGATTGGAGGAGTATGAAATATTATCACATAGTCCTTGGAAAGCACACAATTATCGTTGAAAAGATATTTTTGGTTCATAACCATACATACATACATATATATATTTCACAACCCAAATAAATATATTGAGTGGTAAGAATTCCCATCCTTCAAGTAACTAGATGGAAACTCGGAGCTTGATTCTAATCTGCATTTTCTGGTTAAAACAAGAGGGAAAGAAAAAGGAAAACGTAAATTCGGATGCATGTTCAGCATAGGAGTTTGAGGCCCTGCCGTCCCGGTAATTTTTGGGCTTATGGCCCAAATACATTAGATGGGCTTATCTTGTGGGCTCATTTCCAGCAGACTTAAGGATCCGATAGCACAGCCCATAAGCAAGAGTTTCCCATTTTAGCTCCTTTCTGAAATGTAATTAACACTGACTATAAAAATGAAAATAAATTAGCTAATACTACCTCCGGTCTTAATTATAAGACCTCATTTATAGTTTATAAATAAGATATTATAATTAGGACCGAAAATAGTAGCTTGTCTGGTAGATAAGCCTAGTGTGAAAACATTTTTACAAACAGTAACTTTTTATTTCTAAAATACAGCAACTTTTTTTACAGTGGCAGCAGCATCAAACTATCACGATTTCCAGATAAATATATAACTTCATTAGTATATCAATGCCATGTTTTGTAGAGAGTTTGAGGTAAATTATACTTCTCATAAATTATTACAGATTTTATATTATATATAGATATATACAGTGTCACGAATCAGTCTTACACATATGTTTATGATGAGTTATTGTATTTGTTAATATGTTCACGATATATATGAAATATTCTTTCAAGCATCAATAGTGATTGGTTTGAATGAAAAGAGTTGTGACTGCAATATCTTTCTTAGATAATGAGTATTGTATATGAAATATCGTGTCGGATATCAAATAATGCATACAAAATATTATTTGAGGTGTACACAAGATGAAGTTTAATTATGGGGAAAAAGAAAAGGAGGAGAAGAGAAAGACATTCTCTGAGTTGGAGATATGGTAGCTTAGGGAAGGAGATAGGGTATGGGGAGACTTTGGAAGGATTGGGAAGGAGAAGAGAATAAGTCCAAGTTGGCACATGAGCTGCATCCATTATTGGTTCAAATCTCAATACTATCTCATTATGTTTGCCAAAGTGATGAAGATTCCATCTACTCACAACTAGCTTGGTGCTCCTTTTAAGTCCAACCAAATCAGTTCAAATTGAACCAAGTGGAAACAAACCCAACAAATACCCACTACATGTGAGGTTGTGTTCAGCTTTTATAATGTTCAAACTGATTGGTGTGTTCCGCCAATCAAACTACTTTTTTTTTTTTATACAGCCCAAGATATCTACTGCTGGTAACGGTGATTAATTCCTTTACACTGTAGACTTCCAGAAAGAAGTTTAGTTACATAACAATTAATGTAAATGTAAGAACTGCATAACCAAGTTATGAATATTAAAAAAATTAATTACTTGTAATAAATGAGCATTGATTTTCCTGAAATACTCTTTCTTAATCATGTGCAATGTAAGTACTCTCTCGATAAAAATTTCTTTTTATTATCTGCAATTAATAGAATATTTTAGGAAAAATTATACATTTAAGAAGTCAAACGGATTGATATTTTATATTTAAGGTTAAAATAAATCCCATGTCCAATCCTTAAAAGAGGAGATAGTATACTTGACTTCATCTCAAATGGAATACTCTAACTTGAAAGAGTTGCTAAATCTATTTGTAAGTCATTATAAAATAAAATCATACTGCTCCTGTCCTAAAAGAGCAGGTTTACAATGCAAATTATACTACAAATTAGTTCTTATATTTAAAATCAAATGTACTCCTCCAGTCCTTAATATAGGATCCAATTCTTAAGTTAGTTTTGATCCTAAATATAAGACCCCTTTCTCATATTTATCAATTTTCTCTAAATTACCCCTATGAATACTCCATCAACCATAATCAAGTAAAAGAGAGAGAGGGAGTATTAAGAAAGATGATTATGGTGTTTTAGGAAAAATGTGTCACTTTTCTTATAATTAATTAACTTACCTAACTTCCTTAATCTAATCAAATTAGTTAAATGGGTCTTATATTAAGGACCGGAGGAGTAATAATTTACTATTTACAAGGCATAATGATAATAATGACTCTCATTTGCCTACATGAAATTTGATATGAGTTGCATTGCTCATCTTTACAAGTATTAATAACGACATTTCTGTATTTTATACACTGACTGATTCGAATAATTTTTTTTTTTGGTTACGTGTTGAATTCAAAATGTGAAAGGTCAAGAGTTTAATGATAAGTGTTAAGATTATGATGAATACAAATGATTCTCCACCACCATATCATAATGTTCATAACTAATGCGCGTGTTACGATCAATGATCTTCATCGCTCCAATCAAATGATGAATTAGTTGTGCTGCCTCTATACTGTCTGGGGATTGGTCAATTCGCCCCCTGTTCTTATCATGGTGAACACCCATTTCAAACCTCAACGTCAAAACAATCATTTCCAAAACTATATTAATATTTAATCACAAATATCAACATAATCTGGCTCATTCTGTGTTATTTTTGCCCCCAGACTTTACTCTTCTGGTCTTATTAAATTACTTTCAATATGTTTTACCTGAACAAAAAAAATAAAACTTAAACCCCACTCCTCTGATCCTAGTCACTTCTAATTTATTTTACATAGACAAAAAAAATTATTATTTAAAATTCAACAACTTTCTAATTTTATTTCTATTTAATATATACTAAACCTTGTATAAACAAAGTCGACACAATAATAAATGAAGAGTAAAATTGTACATCCATATAAAAAATTTCTCATGATGTCCTATACACAGAAATAAAAAAATATTTTTTCTGCCTGCCGTATAAATAGGATCAAATGAGTTTTAACCATGTCTTAAAAATTAATAACTTTTCAATTTTATTCCATTGAATGTATTCACTTTTAAGAAAATAACAATATATTTGGGTGCAGTTGGCAATTTAAATAATGGGCGAAATAATATATTCATGCTAAAAATCTAATGATGTGATTTATACATAGAATGAAAAAAAAAATTCCAACGTATAATTAAGATTAGAGCAGTACATGTAACATCTATTTGGGTGCGTTTGGTAATTCAGAATCCATTCGAAGGAAATGAAACTGGAAACGATTCTGTGTGAAAGGAGGCCCGGTAGACTTGAATCAAATTCTACCGGGAATGAGATTTTTAGGGAAAAAAGTCATAACCCAATTCCTTCTCTACTTACGGTGGAATCGAGCCCAGAATCCGATTCCCACCTCATGGATTCGTTTTTACCAAAACTTGTGTAAAACATCACTTTACTCCTTCCGTGTCTGATCAAATCGTATGAATTAAAAAGTTAATTAAAATTAATTGAAGATAATAATATATAAAAATTACGTATTTTTTCTAAAAAATATTATTATTTATGAGGTAGAAAGAGTACAAAAGAAAGAATAAAAAATTATTAAAACAAAAAGAATGAATTAATAAATAAAGACAAGGTAAATATTGTAGTTGTTTCCTATTAAAAAAAACGAAGGGAGTACTGTTTGTTTTTAGTTTTGATTGATCTATTTAAAAAATACGGTTTATTATAAATTTATTTTTTATATTGAGTGCATTAGTATTTTGTGATTAATTTGTTATTCTTGTGTTAAATATTAGAACTAAATGTCCAAGCATTTTATATTAAGAAAAATTAAGGGAAAGTCATTGAAAATTTTATTGTTGGTTCAAAAAAAATCTAAATCTATGCATAGAAGATTTGTACAACACCAATATTTTTTTTGTGTATAAAAATATATTAGATTCTTCTCGCCAGTAAGATTTGCAATGAAAATTCCTATCCCAAATTTTCTTTTATTTTATTGTCGTAAAATTTTATATTTATTTTGTCAAAAAAATTAAGTTTACAAAAAAAAATGTATTAATAATGCGCGGCAAGTGCGTAAAACATTGACTTTCAAGTTGCCCTCATGTCACACATTCCTTTTCGACATCGCCATCCGACAACCGATCGTGCCTACCGCACAGCTTCATCAATATCTTGTAGCAAATTGAATTATGAAGATTTTGTTAAGTACTAATATGATTGCAAATCAATTTTAGAATTTTTTATCCAATTATGTAAAAAATTTTAAAATACTAAGTTAAAAACTTGAAATACCCGAAGCCTAGGGTGTACTAAATTGGTTCGTACACTGTGCACAGCGAAGCACGCCCCCTGGTCAACCACAGGCACTAACTCCTAGATTTGAATTAGCTGGCGTCGGGCCCACTCACTTCCTTCTTTGCTCAACCACAAACAATATAAAAACTAAAAAAAGTTTATTCTAATTCTGCATTTTTCACAATTTCAACCGTTGGACCCGCGCTTTTTGACTTTTTCCTCCAACACCCCTCCCCCACACATGCCTCTTTTTCAAGTTTCAACCCAAAGGAATCTAATCTTTGGACTTTTTATTTTTCCGCTTAATATTTCAACCTCTACCTCCCAATCATGTTAAAAGCAACCCAACACTGGGCCCCCACCCCCACCTTCGCTCTCAATCAAATAAATTAAAATAATCAATTTTCAGGCCCCGCAGACCTTTGAAAAAACAAAGAGAAAGAAGATATAATATTTGTATTCCATTTTTCATCCTTCCTGTTTTTGGTCAAATTTACACAAAACCAAAAAAACCTTATCGACTCTAGGACGACTCCGTCTTCTGGTCCACAAGTTACAAGGCAAAACGTTTCTTCTTTCCGCCAGGGTTTCGCTCAAACGTCCCGTGCCTTGTCGGTGGGGCGGCGCATTCTTCGAACCGGTGCCGTTTTTCAGCTGGCTTGAAGGCTAAGACCGATGCCTGCACCACCGCACTCCGCCGCACGCGCTTCCAGAGCATGACGGTGCTCTCCTTCATATGTTACGAGAAGCATTTTAGGATCGTCTTGAGCTCGTTCCACATGCTTCCTCGCCGGACATCCTCTCACGGTGCTACACTTATAATATCCCCTGTAACATTCAAAAACAACTTAATTAGAATTATATACGAATTATTTCTTAAACGAATTGCTTTGGTTTTAATAACTACTAAAAATTAAGAGTCAAAATTCATATTTGACTTTGACAAATTCAATTTGTTGATGAAAAAGGAATAGTTTAATACCGAGGGTAAGGTGAGCCCTTGATCGGTTTCTGTCCATACTTTCTCCAAGAATACTCGTCCGGCGGAATATCAGCGATCTTCGAACTTATGGCCGGCACACGAATTGTCTTTTTGACTCGCGATTTTCTGTATTAACACAGAGATCTCATGGGTTACTGCTAATTCCAATACTGATTCAGCTAATCTTGTCAAAAAAAAATTGAAAATTTTAAGGTTTCAATTCTTCGGAGATATAAAATACCTTCTCTTAGAGCAATGACAGTGACCGGAGGAGGAAGTTTTCTCATGAAAGGCGGAATCATGACACCTTTTACGGTGAGACGAGGAGAGAGGAGGTTTACCAGCGGAGACGGGAGCAGGTGGAGGAAATAGCGAGGGGCCTATTTTCCCATCGGAAACGCTGCCGTCTCCGGTGATAGAAGACATGAAGGAGGAGCTCGTGGTGGACATGGGAGGGGAGATACTAAAGGTGTCCTTAGAGTACCGAGACCCGGATAACTCGGTGGAAGGTTTAAGCGGCGCCGTCTTGACCTTACAGGGCTTGGCAAAATCAAGGGTCAAACCCTGAGAGTGAGATGACTGAGCCGAATTCAGAGCGAGGTGGTTCGACTGAGACGGATTAGGAAGAGCAGGAGCAGCAGAAGGCGAAGAAGACGAGGAACGGGGGTTAGGATTATTGGAAGGAGCACGACGGAAGCGGGCGTGGCCGGTGCGATTCAGTAAATTGATGACTTGCTTGAACTTGGAAACGGTCATGTCGGTGAGGTGGGTACAGTCAAGGCGCTGGGGATTATTATCAGAAACGGAAGATTGGGAAGAATTAAGAAGACGAACAAGGTGTTCCATGCTCTTCAATCCAGCCGAAGCAGCCTCTTGAATAGCCATCTGTTCTTCCATCTTCCGTGGAAGGCCCACCAGATCTACAGCCATAGGCGAGGAGGAGAAGAAGGAGGAGGAGGAGGAGAAAAGAGAAGATGGAGGTGGGGGGGTATGGGAGGAGGAGGATTTAAAAGAGAGAAAGAGAGAGAGAAGTCAAAGGAGTTTCGTCAATGGGAAGGGTAAAGATTAGTTGGACTTTAATATATTGAGAGTATTCAAAGGATTGGTGTTTGGGAAAAGTAGGCGACGACAAAACAAGTGTTACTGTAAAGGTCTAAAGGAGAGGGTGGGTGGTGGGTCCCACTGAGCACGAAACGAAAGCCCACAGAAACCCCCAGGGATGATGCGACGAGGAAGGGAAAGCAAACGATCATTTGTAAGTGCACCGCTCCGACACGTTTGAAGTTTCCGCCAGTCGCCAGGGTCAGCGCTGTTCAACCTCCTTCGCCACCAAGTATACTATAAAACGGTCTAATTTCTTTTAGCACATTAGAAATAAAAAAAAAAATTAAATATAATTTTTTTAAAAAACATCAAATTATTCTGAAATCCTAAAAGACCTTGTTATAAGATATTTTATTTATTGAATTATCAAATTATTTTTATTTTTTTAAAGTATACATTGATAACTGAAAGTATAATCATTAACAACTTATGTTATAATGATTAACAACTATCATTACAAATACTGACAACTCATATATTACATTTTTGTAATGTGTTGAGAAAATATGTTATTAATACCTATCATTATAATTGTTAATTATTACACCTTAATTTATTAACAACTGTATTTTTAGTTATCAATGCATACTTTAAAAAAAAAGTAATTTAGTAATTAAACAAATATAATCTCTTACAACGAGATCCTTTAAATTTTCAGAATAATTTGATGATTTTAAGAGATATTTTTATATTTAATTCTCTTAGGTGGGATCTTGTTACAAGTTTAAATAACCAAATTGAAGTAAAAAATTATTATAACTAAAAATTAAAGTAGTACTAATACTAAAGATAAAAATTTTATATAAATTAAAAAGTTATTCATAAATCTCAAATCAAAAATTGAATAAATAGATGCTAAAAATTTTATATTGGATAAAGGCGCATCTAGCACCTTGTATCTAAAAGAAAAAAATCAAAGTATTGAATACACCTGAAAAAAAATCTAAAATTAAAAAAAATCTTTCCCTCGTTATATTTACAAATCAAATTTGAATTTATGTTTGAAAAAAAGCATGCATTTCATGCTGACCCCTTTTAATTTCTGTCATAATCATATAATGAATGCAGCATCATATTAATGTTTTTGCATTTATTTTATTTGTATAGAGCTATAATAAATTATAATTTAAACAAGAAAATATTATAACCAATATATTATACCGAAAATACCTTATTATTTAAAAAATTAGCTTTCTAGTGTCGGTAAAATAAATTAGCTTTTACTAATAAAAGTTGAGTTTAGCAAAATAAGTTGGTCTCTTACAACATGATAAAATAATGTTAGAATCTCAGCTAAGACAAATGTTCATATTTAAGTACTTAATAGTATCTTTAACATATTTTTAATATAAGGACTACTGTGCATAATAATAAAAAGTAAATGACCTTCTCCTTTTCCATTTCAAAACTAAAATGTGGGCTTTGTGGCCTAAATTGATTTATATATTGTCGTTTGTGGTTTATATATAATGTAATTTTTTTTAAAATTTAGCATAAGTTTTTTTAAAAAAATAGACTGAAGAGCTCGTTTAAGTGAATTTCTTTAATTTCTTACAAATTATTCTCAGTTAAGCAAATTAGTATAGGTTAGCTATAAGCTAGGTGTAGACTGGATTTTAAACAATTCAACATCAAATGAGGTTACGGATCAAATAAAATAATTTATCCACGTGTTTTTTCCAGTCTAAAATTTATTGTTGTCAATGTCAAAGGTTCTTAATATGATGCAGCTAGCGATAACGTGTTATATATGTAGTATTAATTTTTGAAAACTAATTGGAAGGTTAAAGACAACTCCTTATTTGTGACGATCTTGACTTTTATGATGCCTAAATAAATAAAATTAGGCAACGTAGTAAGATAAATTAATATATCATTTTTGGGAACATATATAAAACTGGATTCCAAAGTTGGCTTTTGAAGTTTCTGAAAAAAAGAATGGAGATGGAATTGCTGTTTCCCATTTTTGAGAGGTTAATTATTATATGTTGACTTGGAGATATAAACTTGATCATCATTATCATAACACATAATGGATTCCACTATAAACTAAAGAAAGTCATATTCGCATAAGAAGCAACCTCATGAAATTTCTTTCACTCTTCCCCAAACACGCCTTTTTCTTTTCTTTGTTTCTTTTTTTCCCCCATTGTTCATGGTTGACTTGGCCCCCCAAGATATGATATCAGCATGAAACTTTATTAGTTGTTAAATATTTAGGAATTTGATTCGCCATTGGAAGATTAAAAAGCAAGAAGAATATAAAACAGAAACAAATTAAAGTAGTAGTAATCAAATAAATAGCATAAGTACTCCACTATATATGAGTATTGGCTTAGGTCAAACCCTACTTTGGCGAGACATATCTATGGAACTGATATGGGAAGCGTGATGCTGGTATTAACCCAATAATATTCGTGGTTACGAATCTTTAGCACATCCATTAAGAGGGAATAATGAATAAATTAATCAAATATTAATTTTGTAATTAATGAGACCAAAATATGCCGATAATCTTCCCATACAGTTCATATTTATATGTGTATGTCAAAGCCTGGGAAAGAAAAAAAAATCTTTAATTAATTTGACGAGACGAGAGAGTGGAATTGATTCTATTCTCTATGCGCATCTGCATGTGCCTCTGGCAATAGGCACCATTATGAGCATCGAAATACTCAACCCAGCATCATTTTGTTTAGTCTATGGCACCTAACTTCTCTTTCTTGGATATTGAATAAGAAATCAACTCATGGAGTTCTTTCTTTACAGCTTGCAAAATATCCTTACATATGCATAGATACAAATTGGCATTTAAAAAGTGCAGGAAAAAAAAATCCTCAGTCATTAATATGAAAATTGCTTAATTAATCTAAATAGATTAAAAAATTTAATAAATTAGTTAATTATAAAAAAATTAATTAGGTGATCCTCCTAAAATAACTCAGCATAAGATCCTATTATATATTAATTCACACATTCAATAAATTATTTTACAAAATAAATTAATTAAAGTCTTATACTTAATATATTCCTCTGGTCCTATTTATAAGTCACTTCCAACAATATATTTCATAAAGACAAAAAAAACCCTTAAACTTTTTTAACTCTTATTTAAAATTCAATAACTTTTTAATCTTATATCTATTTAATATACATTATACCTCGTGTAAACAAAATCAACACAATAATAAATGAAATGTAAAATTGTACATCCATACAAAAATTTTATCTCAATATCTTATAAATATGATCAAAAAATATTTTTTTCTCTGTGTAAATAGGATTGGAGGAGTAATCTTTTAGTAACTGGCAAAATATCAGTGGAGGAATTGGTTTTGAAGAGGCAGGGGTGGTTGAGGAATTGAGTGGTAGTAATGAGCTGGGTGGGGGGAGGTTTTGACATTTATGATGGTCATATAAGTAACGATAATAATGTTTTCAACGTTTCTAGTGCCACCAAATTGGTTGACTCCACAAGACGTAAGCCTCTTTTCTTTCTTTTTAATTTCCTCCACAACCGTCCGATGAGTCCAAAACCATCCAACGGCTACATGCTCCCACACACCTTACACAGTCACTGCCAATAGCCAATAGTGGTTGACCTAAATCCCAGAGATTCAACGTCTTTAAATAAAGAAGGAAAGCACGTGGGTGTGAACTTTCATGCAGTCCTACGTAGGACCCAGTTTGCTCTCCCATTTGACGCATATTGTTTAATTCCAACTTCCTGATTCAAACCCCATCCAGCTATTCAGATTTAGGTCAGCAGCAACACACACAGTGTGTGTATATATATACACCCACATACACATATGGAAAGAGGGAGGGGAAGAGAGAGGTACTAGTGTAACCACACATTTATGCTTTATGTATTAAAGTTCCATTTTTTTTATTTGGGTTTTTGAATTTTGGTGGGGTTGACTTTGTTGGGGATGGTGATGCTTTAATGGAAGAATTCATGAATTAATAATCTGAGATCCAACTCAAAGCAGAGAAATATGTTGGGTTTAGAGAAAGGTCAATGAGACAGCCACAGCCACCTATTTACTTTTCTAATGTTAGCTTAATCTTTTTTCCTTTCATCTTGTCTCAACTTGCTTTGGCTAAAAGAAACAATTTTTTCCTTTCAAGTTTCAAATGCTGCAAGCTACACAGTTTATAATGTTTGGGACCGTTATAAAACATTATTTTGTTTTTTGAATAGCTCTAAGGAAATCAAAGGAGTTTTTTTTTTGGGAAGGGAAGGAGAATACTCCTTCCCAATCCTTATCGTAAAATCTTAGCTTGCGAATTTTCAATATAAGAATGTCAGGGGTATTATTTTTTCTTAAATATTACTCTATTTCCGTTTTATATTTTTAACTAACTAAATAATATTCTGTAATTAATGTTTTCAGCTGAGGATAGTTTTTTAAGTTTTAAAAGTATTAACTAAAAGTGACGTAATACTGGGGATTATATTGGAATATCCAGTTTTTATGTTTCTCTCTTCCTTTTTTTATTGGTTGCAATTTTGGGGTCAGCACATGCTTGCCTTTTCTTTAGAACTGATCTGAAGGGCCTAATTGAACCATAACATGATGGGCGGGCTCGTTTCAATGTGGATGGTTTAATATTGTCAGAGAGCTATATGGGCCCATTCACTAAAAATAAAAGTTATATTTTCTATCAGCTTGAGGCTAGTGAAAGAAACTGGTCTCTCACAACATAATGAGCCAAAATTTAAATTCCTACTAGAAGAGGTATCCATATATAATGCCTGACAATACCCTAAATAGGATTTAGAGGTAGGAATTAGGGCTGGCCTTTCAAGGCTGGCGAGCTTAAAAGTGCCGGCCTTCCAGGACTGAAATTTCAGAAATACCCTAATTTGTTAGGCCTGACCCTTAAGCTAACGGGCTC